TTCCCTACAATTTCTCTGATCAATCTGAAATCTCAATTTAAAACTTTGTGCATATGATGTGTGTGAATGTGTGTTCCTTTATGCCATCAATTCCATCCGTATTCTTCTTGTGATCCAGCCTCTTGCTTACTCACTTTCAAATCTGCAGACTTGCCTTTCAAATCAGACTGACTCTTCAGAAAAATGTAATTTGTTGTAATGCCTAATTTCAAGTGATTGGCCTTGAGTGTTTGATCTTCATATATCTATCTATAGATAGATAGATAGATATGACTTCCTTTTACTGTCTTCAGTTTTCTGTTTCATAAAATAAATTATGTTTAATAATCTATGGGCTCAAAAATCAAATTTACATGGAGAGAATGTGATGGCAAAAGATTCATTACCTAACCAAATGACTTATTTTGAGGGAATGTTCCAGAAAGGTTGACTGTTAACTTGATTCTGTCCAAACTTGAAATTGTAAATAGTTATTATGTCTTTGTTTTTCAAGGGATCACCAGTTTGCTTGCCAATGGCGTTTACAGTGCCGCATATCCCCTGCATGATGTAAGTGATCTTGAAATATATTTTACATGTCTACAATCTGACACCAAGAAATGCTTAATGTGCTATGTATTAATGACACCATCTCAAACATCTTTAGTGTTTCAAAAGACTTATTTTCCCCTCTACGTTTACAATGGATTTCAATAATGTATAAACCTCTGTCAACTGTGCATTCTCTTTTAGTAAATCCCCCACAACTGAGTGTCTTTGGTCATCAAAAAATACTGCTTTAACAGTAAATTAATAGAGTTGTTTTGATGTCTCAGTAAATTAAATGTTTTTCTTAGTTTTTGACCTTCTGCTTTCAAGGACTCTGGCACCTTTGATAGGATATATATTTATTTCTGTGGCTCCAAGTGGCTAGTTTCCCGGTCTAAATCCCCCAGGCATGTCCCAGCAAATATAATGAATGTTGTTGATTGTGTATATGATCAGTTGCCATTGTGAAGGAGGAATAATTTCATACTCAGGGTTTTAATTGTCACCATAGAACATCTACACGCTTATTGCTCTGCAGTTTATTGCTCCTGGGAAGCTCCCAGGCGTGCAGTTTACATGTGTGCCCGAACCACAGCACATTGAACTGGGTCGCAGCAGTCTCTGCTGGCAAGGTACCCAGGGGTCAGCCTGCCAGCCCAGGGCTGCTTCTACTAGGTTCAATGTGCTGTGGAGGGACTGCCTGGAGAATGAGGGTGCATTAATGTGGTGCTAGCTGGCAGGCAGCCCCCACACTGAAGCACCCTTGTGCCCCAGCCAGCCGGCTCAGCATCTGCATGTGCACTGCTGCATGTGAAAAAACTCTGTGGAAGGTTAGGACTTCTATTTTCAAGTCCTACTCTGCTGCAGAGTTTATTAGTGTACTCCAACCTAATAGAAGCACACGTGTAGACCCTGAGATGTTTATTGTACAGTTAATTAGTCAACTGCACAGTAAATGTCATGTGTAGATGCACCCCATGAAACATAAATTTGTGTGTAAACTCTAGTATTTAACCAGACTGCTTATATAAGTAAAGGAATCTGGTCCTCATCACAACTTTATTTTTTCCAAATAATTTACTTTATGGCCCCAGTTGAGATTAGCAGGATCAGGGACCAGTAAGGAACCTTATAGACAACCTTTCACCCTTCTGCACTGGTATGAATCTGTACCAGGTGATCCCCTAGAGCTGCTTGGTGACCTTTATTTAAATTTTAAAAAAAGAGCTAGGGAATCACCCTCCAGGGAATGGGATGGTAAAAGATTCATTATCTAAATAAATAGCTGGTATTTTGAGGGAATGCTCCAGAAAGTCTGGATGTTAACCTGATACTATCCAGACTTAAAACTGTAAATGGCTATTATGACTTTGGTTTTCAAGGGATTAAATGGTGTGGAATGGGTGTAAGGGCCCCTCTACATGTGCAGATAAAGGCATGATGGGATTGAATGCTCAATCCACACAATCACACCTAATGCTATGCCACATTAGGGCTGTGTGAAGTTCCGGTCCCTGATTTGATCTGGTGGAGATTCGGCCCAATTTGGTGGCCAAATCTGCAAATCTGAATAGAATCAGGCGACTCGTTAATCTCTTGGAATTGAATCAGAACCCTCCAAATCGATTCGGAAAGATTCAACAATTCAGCCATAGACACAGCTTTAAATGTTTTTTCTACATACCTCAAGGTACCAGGAGGCTCATGAATGCTGAGATTCTGGGGCGGCTGGAGTGTCCCACAGGAAAGCAGGGGGGCTCCCCAGTGTGCTTGGCAGCAGAGCCACAGGTGGACCAGAAGCACTTCCAGGTCCACTGGGGAGCACGCTGGGGGACACCCCTGGCTCAGCGACTGGTACCTCCCGGGTCTGGGAGGGCACCCAGAGTCCCCTCCCCGTGGCAAATCACCAAGCCAAGGTGGGGCACAGAGGGGCTCCCCTGCATGCTCGGCGCCAGGAGGCTCATGAATGCTGAGATTCTGGGGCGGCTGGAGTGTCCCACAGGAAAGCAGGGGGGCTCCCCAGTGTGCTTGGCAGCAGAGCCACAGGTGGACCAGAAGCACTTCCAGGTCCACTGGGGAGCACGCTGGGGGACACCCCTGGCTCAGCGACTGGTACCTCCCGGGTCTGGGAGGGCACCCAGAGTCCCCTCCCCGTGGCAAATCACCAAGCCAAGGTGGGGCACAGAGGGGCTCCCCTGCATGCTCGGCGGTGGGCCCGGAAGTGGACCAGAAGTACTTCTGGTCCACTTCCAGGTTTGCCACTGAGCATGCAGGGGTCCTCCCCTGTGCTCCTGTGGGATGCTCCATCCGCCTCACCATTGCAGCACTCACGTTCCGTGCCTGGTACCTCAAGGTATGTAGAAAAAACATTTAAAGCTGTGTCTATGGCCGAATCACTGATTCTCTGAATCAGCATCGAATCTTCAGATTCAGATTCAGCCAAATCGAATTGGGGAAAGTGAATCCGAATCAATGAATCGAATCACTGTCCCCAATTCGGGTTGAATCTGAATCGAATACGGCCCATTGCACACACCCCTAATAGGCATGGCAGGAGGCATAATTGTGAGACTGTGGATCAGATCCTATCACATCTTAATGCCGTTGCAGGGGGAGCCTGATCCTGGACACCCCCTGCACTGGCAAGAAATAAGCTCCCGTGGCTGGGAGCCCCCTCAACTGACAGGGCTCCCAACTGTGGAGGCGTACCATGCACATCTGCAGCTGAGAGCCCTATTACCTGACCCAGGCTCCCAGTTGCAGGAGCGCCCAGGAGTCCCCGCAGCAGGGAGATTGTATCTGAGTCTCCCAGCTGTGGGGATGCTTCCTGAGTTAGTTGTGGTCTCATAGCTGGGGGGGGTGCATGAAGCATGCCTTCAGCTGGAACACCATGCCAGTTGCTGTCTCACAGCCATGGGGGTGCATGAGGTGCCCCTGTGGCTGAGAACCCTGTCAGCTAATGGGGATCCCAGCCACAGGGGCCCTTGACCACACATTCAATTAATGATATGATAGGAAGCAGCTATACAAAGTTATTACACACATTTTGTGGAATACCTTTGTTGTATATTCCTCTTTTTGTTTGGCCATTAATTGAATGAACGTGTGACTGGGTGTCCACTTAAGGCACGATTAACTGGTTAATCACACCTCAAGTATAATATGTAAGTGGGGCCTAACTAAGATAAGAACAGGTCCTTTATCTGGTATTTATTGAAAGTATTGTGCTGTCTTGAACTACAGAAATATCATTTAGAAATCTAGAAAGATTAAATAAATTCTACTAAATGTACATATTAACCATTCTTCTGTGTCCTGTTAGATATATACTTATGAGACATATTCCATGTCCTATTAGATATGGCATAATAGGACATATTATGAAACTTATGGCTGGTCACAGATTCTTTTATTCTGTTAAGTATCACCTTTAGAAGTGGCCCCAAAGCAAAACCTCAGATCTAATCACCTATGAACTTTGGTCTGGATATGGATCAGCCTTCTCAGCTGGCCTGTTCTCTCTAACATGGACTGAGCTAAACCCCAAATGCAACTGATATACCACATCCCTTCTCTTGAAATTGTTAGGCTATTTTTATCACTTATTCATTCATTTTAGCCAGTGACTGATTTCATTACTATTTTTTAATGTGGTTGGTGACAAAAGAGCAAATGTACTATGACAACGTGACTTCATGAAATACAGTATTATTATTTTACAAATTGCTTTTCTGTTTTGATGCAGTGAGTGCATGAGATGCATGGTATGTTAGATATATAACAACACTGGGTGTGACTTGTTTCATGATGCAGATTTTCTTTTTTTAAAGGGTGACTATGAAGGTGACGATGTTGACCTCAATGACAGAAAAGTAAGTTGATATAGAGGATTCAGCAAGTTCTCAAGAGTCACCTGTTGGGAACTGGATATTTGCCAAGATTTCACAGAAAGTGTCATGGAAAGGCAGCCAATGCTTTTCAGTACAAGTGCATAAATTTCCATATATAATAATGGTGTATTTCATGCTGAGTTAGTAAAAGTAATGTCAGCATACATTCTAAATGCTCTTAAACTATCGTAATGTAACTTCTAGGTAACCAACATGCAGGCATTGTCAGTCAGATTCTGATATCCTAACCTGTATTAAAGAGTACATTACTTCAAAAATAACCATACTGAATTCAATAGAGCTACTCACAGAAATGCAATAGAATTCAATAGAGCTACTCACTGGCACTATTAGGCCTCATTTTAATTTCTATTTAAGGTAGGTTCTTTACTTAGAGGAAAAGTAAGGGTTACTTTTAGGATATGTGTTATCTTGTGTTTGAAGTGCTAAGGGATGTTTTTCTGCTATGGGACAGAGGAAATAATTTTTCATCAGAAAATACTAATTTATCTAAACTTTTTAAAAGTAAAATATTGGCTTTTGTAGGTCCAGAATGAAGGTAGAGAGAGAGGATAGGTTGTAGCCCAACAGTTGCCTAGGATATGGGAGACTCTCAGTGACATCCCAACCTTGTAACTAGGGGTGACCATGGGGGGCACCTACCCCAGTCGTCAAGTTAAGAGAGGTACTGGAATTGCCCACCACCCCTGTAGAGTCCATGCCCGAGCAGCATACCCATGCTGGGAACTCCAAAACATTCCCTGGCTGCTGCTGCTGATTTAAGAGCAACAGCAGGGGCAGGCAGAGCATGCATGCCAGTAACAGTAGCTCAGCCAGGACTGTGGAGTTCCCAGCATCTGTAAGAGTGCTACCCCTCTTCCCCCCTTCCCCCGCCCCTTTTGCCCCATGTCAGAACCCACACATTACCCTTCACCCCTGCTCTTTGATCCCATGCCTCACCCATAGTGCCCCCGGCCCCTTGCTCTCCCGCAGCAACTCTGCTTGTTACGCCACTGTTGTAAAACACTGTTTTTATGGTTATAATACTTTGGTTCAGCCACTTCTCTGAATCAGCACATATTATTCTGAGGTGGGTAGCTTTCTCTCTCTTCCCTATTGGTTATTTTAGGAAGAGACACATGCTCTTATTTTTTCATGAAAATTTTTGAAAACTTTCAAGTTTTATTACAGTGTGTGTGTGTGTGTGTGTGTGTGTGTACACACAGACACACACACTTTAATAAAATGTAATGCAACTGGTTAAAGCATTGTCTATCATGGCCACTTGCAAGCATTCCACAGATAGCATTGACCAGAAAACAAATATTCTTTAAAAAAGAACCACCCCCCCCAACTATCTCACCGCCCCCAGTCTTTTCTTCTCCAGACTAAGTAAGCCCAGTTCTCTCAGCCTCCCCTCATAAGACATGTGCCTCAGCCCCCTAACTATTTTTGTTGCCCTTTACTGGGCTCTCTCCAATTTGTCCACATCCTGTCTCTAGTGGGGCCCCAAAACTGGACACAGTATTCCAGATGTAGTCTCACCAGTGCCAAGTAGAGGGGAATAATCACTTGCCTTGATCTGCTGACAACGCTTCTACTAACGAAGCCCAGTATGCTGTTGGCATTCTTTGCAACAAGGGCGCAATGTTGACTCTTATTCAGCTTATTGTCCACTGTAACCCCCAGGCCCTTTTCTGCAGAGCTGCTGCTTAGCCAGTTGGTCCACAGCCTATACCATAAAGTTACAGGGATATAACTGAATCTGGTATAATTGTGTTGTGTGTCCATTCGTATCCTATAATAAGTACACCTAAACTGAAGTAATTTATCCCTTGTGTGATTCAGGCCTAAATTATTTCAGTTTTTATTTCATTTAGCAGCAGCATAGGAGCAGAGAGGTAAGACTGTTACACCAGATCAGCTGACACTCTCAAAAGCAGTAAGTCCCTTGCCATCCTTTTAACAATATATACTGGTATGTGTAACAGGGAACCCCTGCCCCTATTACTAGTGGGACTTGAGAGGGTAGGCAGTTAAGAAAAGTAGTGCAAGTGAACTGAGTCCAGGATGGATGAAGCTAATGAGCAACTGGCTGCACCTGGTCACTGGGTGCAGCAGACCCAGTCATATGGCCAGATTAGGCAGGGGGATTTAAGCCTAGCCAGGACCAAGGGGAGCCTGCAGTGGGGAGAGGAGCTCTTGAGAGTGCAGTCACTGCTGGAGATGGGCAGGCACACAAGCCACCCAGAGAAGCAGGGGTGAACACTCCTAAGCAGGTAAGGCCTGTGTGCAGCATTTACCCAAGGAGGGAGACTACTTGTCTTCTTATGAAGCACCTGGCTTGTGATTTTTTTTTTTGTTTGGTTTGGATTTGTGACCAGAGGACTTGGTCAGGCTATGCAGTACAGGAGCAATGTTTCAAAGGCTAATGAATCGGGTATTAGAAGTGCACAGGGCCTTCCATCAGGTGAAAGAAGCCTTTCGTTCACAGCCACTGGTATATGCTCCAAATTTCAAAAAACCCTTCATGATACAGACTGATGGATCCAACATTGCCATCAGAGCTGTGCTATCACAAAGACAAGGGGATGATGAAGTTCCAGTGGCCTATACCAGTTGCAAGCTACACAATCATAAATGGGCATATGCAATGATAGAGAGGGAATGTCCAGTCCTTCTAATGGTTCATGGAGGCCCTGCAGTACTACCTACTAGGAAGGAGGTTTCCCATGGTGTCCGACCATACCCCACTAAAATGGCTCCAACAAATGAAAGGCCATGCCTTATTCACTGGTATCTTACCCTACAACCTTATAAGTTTGTTGTAAATCACCGATGCAGAAATCAACATGAAAACATGAACTGCATCTCATGGAAGAGCAAGAAAAAAAAGCTGTGGGCCCCACTGATTAACTGTTGATCAGCTGAAGAAGGATAGGGAGGTGCCCAGACCGTTGGGGCATCAAAAAGGGTATATGTGAATACTGCCACACAGGATAGGACCTAGCCAGAGGTTAGATCTGGGGCCACCATTATGGTAAATAACCTAAGCCCCAAAGCAAAATGGTGGACACTAAAGGAGGTATTTAGGACAGCTGGCTGCATAAGATGAGTAGCCAGAGGGGTAGAGAAAAAGCCTTTGGGTAAGTGACTTTCCAACAGCCCTCAGAAGCATGGCAGGCAATAAAGAAGTTAGATGGACAAATAGTACTTAGCAGACGAGTGCCCCCATGAGCAAGCAAGGTAGACCCTACTTGTATTACGGTATATCTGTCTATTTCTGAGAAACACAACCTCAAAGGGCATTTTTGGAAAGTTAGATATAAGTGATTTAACAAGGCTGCATACAATTGTTAGTGGCAGGATCAGGATTCAGGCTCAAGTTCCTGATTTCCATTCCCATGAACACCTTTCTATATTGTTTTCCTGTCACCAGATACTTATAGTTAAAATAGTATATATGTGTTTCTTTGTTACTGAAGAACAGGTTCGTCAAACAAAAGCCGAAGGAAAGATTAAATTTCCTCAAAGCCTTCAGATTAGCTTCTTTATTAATATCTTTCCAAGGTTCATTTATTTCTCAAGTTCACTGTATATATTCTGAAATATTTACCTTGTCTGATTCTTGTTTCTCCAAATAGTTTTTTTGGCAAGCCTTTATACTCTTGAATCTTTCGCAAATCAAATTTAATACTGGCCCAGTCCTTCTGTCTTTGTTTATCACAAAGTAAAGGAGATTTGAAAAAAAGCAATGAAGGTAAATATTTAGAGGCAGTGCACTTATTTTTCATGATCATTTTTTGAAGCTACAATTTGAATGCCAGGCTGATAAACAGAGGAAACATGAAATAGTTTCTGTGGGTACTAACTGCAAATGTTGATCAATCCATCTTAAAGTTTGGAGTATTTTCCAAAACTAAAAAAAAAATATCCACAAAATCTTTTAAATTGAGTATCTACCTGCTAAATTGTATGAAGACCCTATTAAGTATCTTAATATAAATTTAAATTAGTTTATTTCCAAAAGTGTCAAGTAATTTGGATACATTGGATTTTTTGGTGCTCAGCATAGGTGACCTAAAAAGGACTAGTTTTTAAAAAGTACATATCACTTGCTTAATTAAAATAAAGTCTGTTTATTAAGTCTCCACTTCTGCATCTAAAAATGGAGGTGCCCAAAATTACTGATCACTTTTGATAATTTGACCCATAGTTCACAAAGACAAATTAATAAAACTTTTGGCTAAAAAATGCTACAAATAAATTAAAAAACAAGATCTAAAGAGTAAATTTGTAAGAATGACACTGAAGAATAAATGACTTTCAGTCTTCAGTATCTAAAACAGATGTGTTATGACTGTTGTATTCAAATGTTTAAAATATTGATTGATTTGGCTTACACAGAGGAGAATGTGCAGTCAGTTTAGTATTTTCTACCTAGGTGTTTTTATCAAAATAAAATATATATTTATTATAAATGGTTTTAATTTATTTGCATGAAGGTGTATCCTAGCATTTAGATTTTGAAGGGCTTTAGTAATAATTCCCTGAGAGAACTGTTAAACTCTTTAAAGAACAGTCTCCATTGTGTAATCTTCTGTGATAGGGTGCTAAAAGCAGGAGTGTTTGTGAACATTATTGTGCCATCAGTTTGCCCATGTGCCTTCCAGGGTTTGTTTGTTTTTTGGATTTCATTGGAGGAATGTAGGAGACTGAGATATGCTAACTTTCATCATAAAGTAATACAAATGATGACTCATTATGACTCATTCATTAAGTGATTCATAATGACTTTATGAAATACCACCCTGTTGTGATTTATTCTTACTTGGCCAAATTTAATGAATTTGGTTTATCTATACCTGAGGGTAATTAGTTTTAGAGCTCTTCTTGTGTCTTAAAGCTATACAAAGTTAAAAGTCTATTGTTGAATTAATTAGTTAATAGTTAAAAGGGCATTAAATTTCCTGATTTAATTCTTCTTCTCCTTCTATGAACCAGTGTAAGTTAATGCTTTGCATAATTTGTATAGTTATTACTTCAGAGTGAGGTGTTGACTTTAAGACCTGCTTTTGGTAAAGTTGATGTGTAAATTGCACTGTATAGGTATAGAATCCTGTGGGAGGAAGGATGGCATTGGTATATGGAGACACACATCTAAGTCGTATCTTCCTTGTATATTCCTTACTCAAGATCAGGATAGTAGTTCGCTATTGGCCAGTATTGTCTTATCAGCCAGGAATTAGGGGTCATGCCCATTTTTTCACTGCATACCATGGTAAGGCAAAATAGTATATCATTGCAATTATAGGTCAACATTAAGTATAAATCAAGGTTTATTTTTTAATTGTTCTCTTTGAGGGGGAAAAAGGTCAATTTATAATCAGAATAATACAGTAAGTGAGTACGCAGCTTGGTCTCCCTCCCAGCTGCTTAGACCCCAGGTCCAAGTAGTGTTAGCAGGGAAATACTGTAAAGTATGATCTTTTCCTTTGTAGAAGCATAATGTCTATCACTGTTGCTTTTTTCTCTGACACTTTTTTTTTCCAGTTAGTTCACTTAGTTCCCTCTCAGCTTTTGATTTTTTGGGGGTTTTTTTCATGGGTGGGATTTCTAAATAAGTCAAACAATTTGGGAGCATAAATCTCATTAAGAAATCAATAGGATTTATCCTCTTAAGTCTCTTAAGCACTTTTTGAAACCTCATCCTGGGGCTATATTTTACAATTTCTCAGAGCTGCATTATTTAATTTATTTTCATATAAAATTACAATTGACTTCAATGGAAATTGCAGATGATGAAAGAGAGCAGAATCTGGCCCTGTAGAACTTTGCATACTGTAGGGTTGGGGGGAAAAAATCCATTAAAACTTCTTTTTTCTAGTGGAAAACTAGATTTTCAGTGAATGAAAAAATCATAAAACATGTGTGTACTCTGAACAAAAAGTGAAAATTTAGCCAAAAAAAGGTAAACTAAAATATTTTTGCTTGAGAGCAAATATCCTTTCCTCTTCAACTAAAAGTTGAAATATTCTATAATAAGGATGAGGTGGAAATCTTCTACCAATGCTAAAGTGAGTATGTTTATACATACTCTGTTAGCAAACAGAAAGCTGCCTTTATTCAAAAGCTAGTGCTTTAAGTTGCACTTTCTACACTGGAGTCCATTACGAGAAGCACCACTGGGTTAGAGTAGGAGTAGTTATCTCAACAGGGTTTATAAACATCTATTATTTGTTTTAATCTGATTTTTGTGTTGTTTAAGTTCTAATCATTTTTCATTTTCAAAAGATAAACTTGTTTAAAGTATGAATTAAATGCAAATATATTAAGGTTTAAATTAATAATTTCATAAAACATTTCAGTAAATATAAATATCCTGAATAAAAGAGCCTCTATGAAAATTCTGTGTTACAGGATTTATGCTTTTCTAGATAAAGAAATAATTGAAGTGGAGGGAGCAAGGGGATGTTTATTTTTTAGACCATTTACTGTATTAGAGGTTCAATCCTGTAGTGCCTTGTAAGCTGCATATCATTCACCATTTCATTAACGTAGACAACTATAACAATAATAAGATTCTGAAAATAAATATTATACTATGTAATTGCTTAAATGGTATATAGTTATAGTGTTCTTTCCTAAGTAGTAAAAAGATGTACCAAAAATGATGGAAAATCTCTGGTTGCAAATATATATATAATAATGGGTTCTATCAACCAGTGAAAATACACCTGTCTTTAGAAAATAACTAAAGAGAAATAGAAAAGTTATTGAAAATCCAGTCATGTAAAAGGAGGCTTTCCGTTTAGTGATTTATTTCATGATTAAAATTGCTAATTTAAATAACGTTGACTTAAATTGATCCACTCTGCATCTGAATAAAGTGCTTCCAAATATAACGGAAGTTTGTTCAGTTCAACCGTATATAAATTGGGCTACAAGTACTACATTTGCACATGTCTGGTTTTCTTTGCTATGAACGTGAGTCTACAGTAGTTTAAAAGTTGTTGGCGCAAACATAATTCATACAGCTGGGAAGCCTCCCAACCTTATTAAGCAGATGACTTTTCCACAATTAACACTAAAAACATATCCTTCTAAATGGAGTGTAGTTTTAAATGTTAAAGGTTGTTGTTACTGCAAATCAAATACTTTTCCCTTTATTACTGACAGCAGTTACAATATGTATATGCAGCAGTGTATGGTATTTTAAACTAAAGACAGAGGGGAGAAAAGTTCTAGTTAATGGCCAACTTAAAGAATAATCTTGCTTTTTTCAGAATTTGAAACTTCTCACAGGTTAAATTAATTCAGTTCTAGACTCTAGGTTTTTCTTGCCAAAAGTTGCCTTTACAGAAATCTCTTGACAAGAGTTATCCTGTGCTTTTAAAAATGACAGAACAGCAGAATCAGCAAGGATTTTATAAATAACAGTTTAAACAACTCCATTTATTGCTACTACATGCTTTGGTGAATTGCTGCTATCTAGTTTTATATCCATGTCAAGCTAATGAGAAATAACAAAAATGGATATCTAAATTCACAAATACATCTTTGAAACCAGGTTTTGTCTTCCCTGTTCTGGCAAAGAACTTTTACAGAAATCAATAGCAATTTTGTATCAGAGCTGTTATTTTGAGTAAAGAAGTATGCCAAGTAGCTAATAAACATAGTTTATTGTATCCATAAATTTATTGCCCAGAACATATATCTTTGTTCACTCCATTAGTTGGACTGGATCAGGAAGAATCAAAGCTGAAAAGTGCTATTTATCTTGTTTATGAAGTAAATAATGTAGTAAAATGAAGGTCTTGGATGAATATATTTTGTGAGTATTTAATTCTGTGAGTCACTAATGGTGACCTTTTATTGTCTTTGGCCCAAATCCTGACCAAAGATAGTGAGCAAAGATCATTATATTCTGTTTTAAGTTAGAAGCTCTCACATGCAATTTGCTTGGACACTTCTGTCTACTTCCCCTCTACGGAAGCAAAATATTAGTGCAGCAACAGCAAGCCAGTTTATTCTAGTTTGTTCTCCCTAATAACTCAAAGAACGGTCATACTTTACATCCGCATCCATTCTGCTAAAGGTTTGCTACAAATCATACAATTGGAGCTACTCTCCCCATCATCTCCCCTTTACATCTATCCATCAATCCTGTTGTTGAAAAGCCTTTTAATGCACTAGCATTCATCATTGTAGTACACAGAGTGCTAGACCTTCAAGCTTGTTTTTTATACTTAATGCAGACTGTATATACAGGTGGATTGAGGTATGTGAAACCACAAAATGGCAAAACCAGATAAAAATGGGAAATCAGCAAAGGTAGAAACTGAGCATTTATATGGGGCCTTAGTGTTAACTTCCATTTTCATTTGTTTTGCAGCTCCTGTTTGAGGAATGGGCAAGCTATGGAGTCTTTTATAAATATCAGCCAATTGACCTGGTGAGGTAAGAGCATTCCATGAAGGACATCTCGTGTCCATGAACATAAATTGCTTCTTTGTACAGATAAAGGACCTGATCATATCCACAGGGTCTACTTGGCTTCCTGTGCCATGGGACTGTGATAGTGGAAAGTTATCTGTGGCGAGGTGGTGAACAAAGGCAAAACCCTTATTCTTAGAGACAATCAATGCTCCCAGAGAGTGAGCAGGACTGGCTAGGGAGGGGACACTATTAGGTCTCTCACCAGATGTGCTGATTATCTAAGAACAACATGAAGTGGAACACTGCGAGGCTTGGAAAGTGTTCCTGTATACTTACCTGAAAATATTATAGAGGCAGGTGCCTTAGACTACTAGATAGAGGGCCAATTCATGTGATAAGCAGATTTTTAGTGAATTATATGATCACAGCATCTCATTTAAGTAATTTCTTCTGGAAGATGCATTTACAAGTGCAGCTATGTGAATGAATGATTGCAGTGTAAGTGGGGTGAATTGCTGCACTATGTGGCCCTCCATTCTCTTGGTCAGTGTAACTTTCTGAATATGAGTGCTTTGTCAGAGTGTTGTCTGTGCTGCTGCTGCTGCAGGTCATGTGTTCCCTTGGAGACACCAGTGTTATACAAAGAAGGACTATAGACTTGGTTTGGTGGCAAAAGTTCATTCTGGTTTATTCATTGCAAAGCATCTCTTCATTAACATTCATGTCCAGCAGGTTGCAAAGTTAGCCTTGGATGCTGTTGGTAAACCACAGACCCACCTTGTATAGTGTGATCCCTTATTCAAAATTCCAAAGGTTTCCAGGCCTTTTTTTAACATGATCAAAATAACTCTTTGTATTGGACATCTATATAACTAACATCAACATCTCTACCAGATCTCCCTACTTCTTGTATGTCCTGTCATTTTCTTGTGTGTCCTGGACATTGGCACCAGCCTTAAGAATCAGTTTTATCAGTTGACTGTTTTGGGGGGCTAATCTAAGCCTAATCTTCCAATTTAAGCCCTGATGCACACAAGGTCAATCTTCAAGTCTGCTTTGGTCAGTGCTGTACCAGAGCTTTTATATGAGTTGTATAAGTACTGAACAAATGTTTATATTAATCAGTATTCCAGCAAGGCCTGTACACTATGGGTATGTACAGGTGTTACATTTTCATCACCCTAACCAGAGTTAAATTGATCTAATTGATCCAATTGTACAGGCACGCAGAGAGCTTAAATCACCCAAAAATGGTGCACCTGATCTAAATTAGTCCTTATGAATAGGTGCACTAACTTAGAGTGAAATTGGGTTAATCTAAGAAAGCCTTAACTTGATCTCACAAATACCTGTACATATTTGCAGAGCAGCCCTAGGAAAGCCTATCTGCCCTGGGGCTGTGCTGTTCACACCCTGTTGTCCCTGACTGAGCTATTCTTATCCTCCTGATGCTCCACTCTGTGGACACACCAATCCCCTTTCCCCTGTAGACCTGCCAGCCCCCTCCATCCCATCTACCCCTCCTCCCGGCCTGAGTTACTTGCATCAGGCTCCCCACACTGCTCCTAGGAGCAGCAAACAGCTGCCTACACTACTCCTGGCAGCAGAAAACTGCTGCATGTGTCACTCTCGGTATAGGTATAGGCAACTTAAAGTCAGACACCTAGATCTAGACTGGGTGTGGTAAATGCTTGTTTGCATCCTCTAGCAGCCCATGTGTCCATTTCTACCCTATGGAAAAGGTGCAGTGAAGTTGGGTTGCAGTCTACCTTGCATTTACTGCAGTTCTAAGCTCTAAGGAAGGCTTAACATGCAGTTAAGGGAGGGCATGCTGGAATAATAGTTAACACTAAGTTCAGATCTTAGTTTACCTCATGATAACTTGATTTTTTATATATACATATATATATATATCTCCATACCCTGAGTTACCAGTTTAGTATGATCAACAAGAGAAGGCAAAGATTATTTTTTTTGAAAACTACTTAACTTTTCTAGTGTTGGCCATATCTTCCCAGTATGTTCAAAACACAATTCAGTGAGAAATTTGGATTCAGAAAAGAATGCATACTTTTCGTATTCTTAATCACCATTGATTAACACGGTTGCTGTTCAGATTTGAAAGTCTATGGAATAAACTCTTTAGAGAAGATGAGAGCAAAATACAAGTTTAGAGTGATTTGTTCAGAGAAAATTTGAAGGTATTGGTATATGCAACAGAAAGGCAAAAGTTTGGTTCTACTGAAGATGTTGACAGACCTTACTTTTAAGTTCAGCCAGGCTGTTATTTATAATTTTAGCTATGATATATTCTAAGAAATAGCAGACATATCACACTTCTTTCCTCAATGTATTTCAGAAAATATTTTGGAGAGAAGATCGGACTGTATTTTGCCTGGCTGGGAGTTTACACACAAATGCTCATTCCAGCTTCTATTGTAGGGATTATTGTATTCCTGTATGGCTGTGCAACTGTGGATCAGAACATACCAAGGTAACAAAAATGTTCACATATACACATGCATACACACTGATTTCCTTAAAAAATGATATATGTGTATATGAAAGTAACTAAAATCATTACATCAATAGTTTGAGTTTTTGTTGATGATATATGGGATTCAGACAGTAAAATCTTCTACTGCCTAGCTTACACAGGTAATAACCATTTTGCTTCACTTGCACAGTGTGACAGAATCAATGGACCTTCATCCCAAAGTTGCATCCAAACCCTGTTCTATCTCCACTGTTGTCTTCCATGGTTTTCCCTATTTCTATGTGTCAGTCACATGATCTTTTTTACACAATTCTAATACAAGCCTTGTTCCTCTGTGTTAGAGAATTCCACACACAGGTGACCATGATATAGTTGCACATGTCACTTAACTTTATGCATGTAGTTACTCTCACTGAATAGGTTGGGTATGAAGAAAAACTTCCTGCCTAGGAGGGTGGTGAAGCACTGGAATGGGTTTACCTAGAGAGGTGTTGGAGTCTCCATCCTTGAAGGTTTGTAAGGCCTGGATCAATAAAGTCTTGACTGGAATGATCTAGTTGGGGGTGGTCCTGCTTAATCACTTAGGTAATCTAATTTATTAGGCACCTCCATTTAGGTCTCAAAAGTAATCTGAGTTAGCAGCTTTGGTGCCTAGCTGCTGCCGAAAATCTGTTGCAAGCTAGGTGGGTTCTATGAAGTAGTTTAAGTTACAGTTCTTGAGATGGCTAGAGAGCAAACCTGCTGACATTTTGATACTGACAGCAACTATGCAGTTAATTACAGAATGGAAGAGGCAGGACAAGATATGCTATCGATCTCTTACTAGCTTTGTGGTTAGAGTACAAGCCTAGAATAATTGGAAATATCCTTGGCCATACCCACATCAGTGGCAAGCACACTAAGAACTATGCTACTGAGCCACAGGGAGACACCAGATTTAGCTCACCCCTTCATGCAAAAGTAAAGACTGGGTGCTGAGTTGAATCTCAAAATGACAAAGGAACCAAATGTGAACAATTAAAATAGAAACCTTATCTCTAAGAAGGAGTAGAGGTTCAGACATGCCGCTGCACCTGTTGTTCCCTATTCACCTGTAGCAAGTGCCTTTCTGTTCAGTGCTTGGGCACTCTGAATGCACCTGTCTCCTACCTAACTGGATTTCACAAGGATCCTAGGTACATAATTTTACCAATTTTTTATCGTCTTTCTGGAGTGGGGCAGCTAAGTTTTAGGCATCAAAGGCAAGCCAAGGCAAAAGTGGGAGCTATACGGATCTGACCTAATGTGATTACTCAGATGTGTAAACCTAAACGTGTGCATGTTTTCAGAATCTGGGCTTTAATGAATAAATGTGCTCATATCTGATAATTTGGCAAAGGTTTTGCAGCAGTTAATTTTCTTAGCTAGTGTAATAAAGGTATGATTGATCTTAAACCTTCAAAAAATCTTGTATAAATTAGATCTAAAATGCCTCTCTCAGCATTTGGAGAATTAAGAAAGCCTCGCTCATGAGTCTCAAACTGTTATAATTTCGGCTGCATCAAAAAACTTCCATATGTTTGATCAGAAATAGGTCATATCAATCTAGGGATGAATGATGAGAGGCGTTTAGTTTCCTGGGGTTTGTTTTATTTGTCATCCAAAATGTCATGTTTCTTAATAAATATGATTAGTTTACAGTACAAAAATAAAGGTTATTATAGAATTTTATATGGAATGGTGGATTTTCCTTCTGCATTATGATTGAAGCAGCTAGAGACCCCAAATAAAATGCTACATACATGTAAAAGTGTTTTGCCTTTACAGTCCAGGACTGGGTAAAACACAAGCCAAGTTGCCAGGAAGCTGCCTGCAGCTTCTCAATCCCGAGACTCATTCTATGCCAGCCTCAGTCTCATAGACTTCATTAATCTACTCTGTCTGGCTAAGGTCTATCTGCTCGTTCACAACTGCCAGAACATAGTGTTCTGGCCACACTTCCACCCCTTCCCCAGCCTAGTTCTTTTACTAGGAGTACTGTAAATGTGATGAGGATTCCTTCACAACAAGGAAGTCACTAACAGGGAAGATATGGCTGCTTTCTGTTTCTCTTAAATACTGGAGTTCTGCAGGTTTCAGACTTGAGTTCTCAAAGTCCAGAATATAGGAAGGAAAATTGTTTTGAGTTACCAGTGTTCACCTATACTAACATTTTAACACCCAATTATTATTTTACAATACAATATATTAGTGGTTCTCAACCTTTTTAGACTCAAGGTACCCTTCATTAGACTCAAGGCACATTTCCTTAACTTTACGAATTCAACCACATCCCATTTCAAAAACTAATTTATTTATTACAGTGCTTACCTTTTTTGCAAAGGGGCCAGGCAGGGGAACGGCCAGGCAGGGGAACAGCCAGGCAGGGGCAAGCCTGAACCTACATCTACCTGCTTCCTGCCTACATATCTGAGCCATCTCCTCAACCTTCAAAGAATCTCATGGCACCCTGGTTGAGAATCACTGCAATATTTAATTAATAAGATTAGTTGTACAGGGCTATCAGTCTACTTGATATGGCATAAATATTCACAATATTCGTGGCAAAACATTCATCTAAGAGTTATTTTCCAATATGGGAAGCTGAAATATGTACAAAACAAATGGCATGTAGAAAGTAGAACCTGGAAAACAGATATGTTAAAAAGAGATTACCCAAAATAGCCTGTAGACAAAAAAGAGGGCATGGTTTAGCATGTTGTTAGTACTTTCCTCATATTTATTCCTGCAATTACTTCTGTTTCTGTTAGTTAATTTAAACCTAAAATGTTTAGATGTGATAAAAAAAAATTAAGAACCGTCAGCAAACTCTTGCTAGGAACTGTTCTGAAATAATGATTCAGGCTGATTTGTTGTAGGTGTCTTTTTTCATAATTGTAGAGCAATTTATTTAATAATGTAAAAAAACCCTAGCAAAACTGCATTGGTGTAGCAAGATCACTCCACAAATGGTGGATGTTAACACTGCCTGTTGAAATAATACATAACTACTTTGTACATGGAGACAAAACAAGAATGTATAGGTCTAAAATAGACAGTGTGGCCAAATCACTAAAATACAGGGCCCTACTATATTGTAACTAAATAATGTAATAATTTATTCATTATAAATTTTCAAAAAGACCTCTCATTTTGCATCTCCAGTTTTTCTTCTATGATCAAGTACATAATCAACTGTAGAATTTAGATATGGGCAAGAAATAAAGATACCTACACTGCAGGTTAAGTAATTGTATATCTAAAGACTGGTCTGCTCAGGTGGCTTTGTATCAGTTCGGTAACTGACAAGGTTTAGACAGCTTGACCAGTAGGGCTAAGTACAGACAGTCAAAAAGCCTGAGACTGAATCAATTCAATCTTCATAGGTTAGTCTAAGCTGTATAGCTTGAACTGATAAGCAAGCGAACAGACATACACTTTTGATTCCAAAAATGCAGCCACGTGTCTGCAGTGGCCCAGGCCAGAAGCTGGGGGGGCACTAGAGCACACCTCCCTGCTTGGCTAGAGCAGACAGCTTGGGCCAAGGCTAACTCATCCACTCTGCAAGAGGGGGATTGCAGGGGAGGTGCAAAGCCTCTTGGAATGCTGGGGGTCCATGGGCACTGACAGAAGTAACAATTTTCCCCCAATCTGGCCACAGAAAGCAGTTTATAGCCATGACCAAACACAAGTGCACAGCTGCAGACAGCTTCAAAAATAGCTGATCAGGTGAAAATCTGACCTCTCATTGAGGGGTCAGATGAATACATTTCAGAACAGAGCATCTTCTGTAACTTGCATCTCTGCTGCCTCCCAGCCTATCACTGTTTTCAGAACGGGAGTGGGGAAAGACAATGGAGGGAGTTCGGTCTGGGAGGTTTTCAGCCTCCACTGGAAGGTGGGGCAGATATATTGGAACCCCCCTGAGGTGGAGGGCTCCAATTCACCTACCCAACCCTCCAGTGCTGACTGGGGAACCACTAGAATGAGCTCCCTCCACTTCCTTTCACCCATCCTGTTCTGAAAACTTTGCAGCCTAGCAGGGAACAGGGGCTGTTGCTAGATTCCCCTCCCCCCTAGAACTCTAGAACCAATGGTGAACTTCTGTTTGTTCCAGGGGATTGTAACTCAGAACACTTCCTGCAATGCATTCTCAGTTACAGCGGGGAGCTACACTTCTGTCTGAGCCCTATGACTTTACTTGAATTGGTAGGGGATCTTGGACAGAAGTTCAATACACCAATTAACTGAAATCAGTTAAGTCTGATAAGAAATCCATCCAGGTTTAACTTAAACCAGTACTGGCCATTTTGAAAGTGGTTTTCCTGCACTGAACTTCTGTTGTGTTACAGATTTGAACCAGTTTCTGATCACTTCATGTGTAATTTCTGTCCCTAGCCTAAAAGACATCTCTAATGGAGAGAACTTCTGGTGGTAGAAAGCCAGCAAACCTGTTCTTTTGCTAACCCTAACTAGCCCCCAACATAAGGATTTTCTGAGGGGACGCTGTCTCTTTGCTCTAGGTGCTAGAATGCTGCTGGGAACCAAAGACAGCCAGTCATAAATTACACAGAGCAACTAAGGGGCTGCTACAATATATGCTGTATGCTGGCACAAGTTAAGCAAATTTTGCATGTACCCCCACCAATTGTGTCCAGCTGCGTTAAGTAAGACTAGAGAATTAGCCCTTGAATCTGTCAGTTTCAAATGCTAGTGATTACCTCTACAAATAACTGTAAGAACAAAATTAGCATTTTGGTTAAGGTCCCTTTAAAAATATTGAGCTGTGATTCACATATATTGTGATAATAATGATAGATCCCAGGTACTTTCTTATACTATTCAGCAATTTAGGGCTAGACTAATAGATGGTCTCTCTTTCCCATTAACTGGAGTGCAGGACAAAGCCAAAAACACTGAACCAATTTCATTTAACATGCTTCTAAAATTATCATCAAATGCCTTGCTCTAAGGTCATACATCTCTTATATCACAGTGCCAGAAAAAAGAAAAGTTAGAAGATAGTCTGGAGCACAGTAAAGAGGAGAAACAGTTCTATTGAGGCACTAAATTGGATCTCAGGAGATCTGGGAGCAATTCTTAGCTGTTATATACTTAATCCCTCTGTGCCTGAATGTCCCACATGTAAAATGGGGATATTTCCTTTCTCCTATACCCTTGTATGACTTCTCTATATACATTATAAGTATTTCAGGATAGGCACTAACTCATTCATTATATTTAAGATAGGCAATTATTTGCTTCTAACACTTGATCTGAATGGAAGTTGGACCTGGGGCCATAGCGAGGACCTGATTTTGACTGGGACTTCTAGGTCCTCCTGTAATTTAAGAAGTAAAGTAATCAAAGGGAGAGAGATGGGTATTCATCAGTCTTTCAGAATGAACATCCATTCAGTGACACATAACGTGTAGAGGAGAGATGAGATGACTGATGAAAAGAGACAATTGGAGGATGGAAAATGACTTGACCTCAACCTTTGCATTTGTTTTATTGCAGCATGGAGATGTGTGACCAGAGAAACAATATCACCATGTGTCCTTTATGTGACAAAACATGCAGTTACTGGAAAATGAGCTCTGCCTGTGCCACTGCTCGAGCAAGTCACCTCTTTGATAACCCAGCAACTGTCTTCTTCTCTGTCTTTATGGCTCTATGGGGTAAGAACATATGTGGTTTTGATGCGGGTTTTTAATTCTCTTAAATATAGCAGGAAAATCACCAAAAGGTAAAGTAATATGTTTAAGCTTGGAGAGTTGATTATGTCAAATCCTTTTAAAATCCTTTTCCCATTGAAGTGCCACCCCTAAATTTACATTGTAGACTAAAAGCTAAAATTCAGAAAGTTGCTCAGATGAATATGAAATGAAATTGGTAAGCTTCTGTCAGAAAAACTGCAGTGTGGTATGTCTAAATTTAATTAAGGGGATTGCACAGCTTGCCAACAAAATCTATTTGCAGAGCCAGCTTTCAAATCTACATTACCAGCAAGATGTATAGCATACTTTTTGGAAGGGGGATTTGAAAAGAACAAACCATGATTGATTCTTGATTTTTGCTCCTCAGTGTATTTCAGTTTATCCAGAAGCATGCATGCACATAGCAACACAAACCCAGAACTCCTACGTTGTCTAATTATTTGTCTGTTCCTGACCATTCCCCCATAAGCTTCTGAGCTTGCCTCTTAAAATTTCTGCTTTAGTTCCCACCTTTAAGATTGACTTATTAATATCAGCTCTTTGGAGAAGTGTTGTGAGAACTTATTAGATAAAGTCTGGGAAGTGTTTCATAAGAATGTCGTGTTATTACAGTCATTTCAGCTGGGCTCCCTATGTGGACAGTAGCCCAGACAGTACCAGAAAACCATTACATACCATAGTTCTGTTCTAGAGAGATTCATTGCCCAACTAGCACAAAAAATCTTTCCTTGAAATATAGAACTCTGTAGAAACCTAGTTAATCAAGATCATTTCCCCTGAGAAATGGCATAAGGCAGATGTATACTTTTAACTAGTTTGGTGATGAGATTGAAATCCAAGTTCTAAAATCATCTTTGTGCATGATATCTACTTGCTGGGAGAGGGCGCAAGTGAGTCCTACCTTGCTTTGGAAGCCTCACAGTGGTCTTGAATGAAGAAGAAACCTGATTAAGTTATAGATTAAGGATAGGCTGGAAAATGGCCTGCTCTCAGTCAGATGAGCTTCAGCAAGGACAAGTACAAAGTCCTGTATGTGGGACAGAATAATTGCACACACAAATATAGACTAGGGAATGACTGAGTAGGCTGCAGTACTGCAGAGAAGGACTTGGTGGTTACAGTAAACCATAAGCTGAAAATGAGCCAAGAGCATGCTTTAGTTTAAAAAAAAGCCAATAGTATATTGGGTTGTATTAACAGGAATGTCACTTGCAAATGAAGGGAACTGATTCTTTTGTTCTGTTCAGCATTGGTGAGGCCTCAGTTGGAGTATTATGTCCAGTTTTGGGACCCACACTTCCAGAAACATGTAGATAATTTGGAAAGAGTCCAGCACAGAGCAACAAAATGATTAGGGGCTTAAGAGACAAGACTTATAAGGAAAGGCTGAAAGAACTATAAGTATTTAGTCTGGAGAAACAAAGACTGAGGGGAGATTTGATAACAGTCTTCAAATATCTCATCCTTACAGAGAAGATGAAGATGGGATTTTCTCTGTGGCTGTAGGGGACAGGAATAAGAGTAATGGCCTCAAGCTTCAGCAGGGTAAATTTAGGTTGGAGATTAGGAGGAACTCTCTGACTATGTGGGTTGTCAAACACTGGAACAGGCTACATAGAGAAAATATAGAACCTCCATCCTTGGAAGTGTTCAAGAGAAGGTTAGACAGACACTTGGCTGACATGGTTTAGCCAGGGATGATCCTGACTTAAGCAGTGGGCTGGACTAGATGACCTTGTGAGGTCCCTTCCAGCCCTACTTTCCTATGATCCTAAGTGGCTACACACACTCTCTATGCCAGAAGTTTTTTGTATTGACATTATCTACACGTTAGTGCCAGGGTCCAAAGTCACACCACCAAGGAAATAAGCTCCACCTACCCACTCCTGCTCCCTGTGCATCTGTTCCAGACTTGGGGTGGTGACAACACCCTGGAGGTGACCCTCCATGACTGGTTTTATAGAGTGACCAAATTTCTGCCATATTTCTACATTTGACACATGCAGAATGGCTTATTCTCTAAGAAATATAACTGAGCACCATCAAGGAACCTATATATTTGTGGAACTGGTAAATGAGAATCCTGTATATAGGAACCACGAAAGAACCGTGGTTGTATTCCAACCTAGTGGTCATACTGCAGCCCAAAACATGCATCTAAAATAGGGAAATTTATTTTGCTGCCTCTAATCTCCACACTGAATAGCCACATTAGACTAGTACAGCATTATAAGCACCATGAAAAGATTGTTGCCCAATCTATAAACCAGACCTTTATGTTTGAGTAGTGGTCTCCATTTTAGATGATAAACTAGCATATTTACTCTACTGGAAATGCAGAACCGGTTCCTATTTGCTGAGACATCAAAGGAATCATTTATTCTATTAATACTAATTTGGATTGAGTTAAGTGGATCCTTTAAAATACCTTATCTTCCTGACCAAAGCGATTATTTTATAGAAGCTGCAAGGCCAACAGGACTGACTGACTTTTCTAGTTCAATATATGGTGATATGGGGGAGAGGAATGGCTATTTAATATGTGTCCTTTTGAGAGTTAGCTTTGAAGCGGACTTGGTGAAAGACGTAATAGGATAATCAGCAAGAAAGCTGTGGAGGAAAAGCAAACCTACCTAAACTAACTATGCAGTGTTGATGAGTGATCTGCTATCTTGAACAGCATCTTGTCATGTTACTCATATTAGGAAATAGGATATAACTCAAAACAGTATGCCACGTCAGAGACTTTAAATAGCCTGACTCTCAAGTGAGTAATCAAATATCTGCCCTCTCTTGCCTACGCTCACTCTCAATGTAAAATGACAGGTATCTTAGTTGAATACTAGTCAAATATGTCATGACATGGAATATTCTGTTCCAAGTCAATAAGGTTGTTTGTTTCATAGTTGGTAGGGTTGGAAGTGGCCTGAGCAGATCATCAAGTCTGACCTTCTGCCATGGCAGGAAAGAGTTCTGGGGTCAAACGACCCCAGCAAGGTGTTCATCCAGCCTCCTCTTAAAGCCCCCCAGGGTAGGAGCCAGTATCACTTCTCTTGGAATTTGGTTCTAGATCCTAGCCACCCTGACAGTCAAGTAGCGCCTCCTGATATCTAGCCTGAATCTACCCTCTGCCAGCTTGTGACCATTATTTCTTGTCACTCCTGGGAGTGCTCGGGGGAACAGGGACTCCCCCAATGCCTGCTGGTCCCTCCTAACTAGTTTGTAAACGGCCACTAGATCCCCACCTCAGCCTGCTCTTGTGGAGGCTGAACAGGTTCAGGTCCCTTAGCCTCTCCTCATAGGGCCTGCCCTGCTGGCCCCTGATCAAGCAGGTGGCCCTCCTCTGGACCCTCTCCATGTTGTCTACATCCCTCCTGAAGTGCGGCGCCCAGAACTGGACGCAGGACTCCAGCTGCGGCCTGACCAGTGTCGCATAGAGGGGGAGGATCACCTCCTTGGACCTGTTTGAGATGCATCTGTGGATGCATGACAAGGACCGCTTCCCGACACTGTCAGCCCATGTTCATTTTGGCATCAATAATGACTCCAAGATCCTTTTCTGCCTCTGTACTGATGAGAAGGGAGTTCCCCAGCCTGTAGGTATGCTGCTGGTTCTTCCTCCCCAGGTGCAGTACCCTGCACTTTTCAGTGTTGAAACCCATCCTGTTCTCATCCGCCCACCCTTGTGGAACTTCTGTTCCACAAGTTAATAGAATACTGTTCTCATCCATTTTAGGGTTAATGCATGCAATATACCTTCTATCTCCATTGTATGAAAGATGTTTTTTAATTTAACCTTCACACCTGTATGGATCAGGGAAAATTTTTAGACCTGTAGAACTGAGGTACAGAAAAGTGAAGGCCCTAATACAGGGGTGGGCAAATATTTGGGCTGGAGGGCCATTTAGGGAGTTTTGGTGAGCTGTTGCACCTTCACTGCCCCCCACCAACAGCTCACCAAAACTCCCTAAGTGGTTTGCCCCACACTCGGCCTTAGGATCGGGCTGCAAGTGGGCGTCTGGGAGCAGGGCAGGTGAACGGGGCTGGGATCAGGATCACAAGGCAGTGACAGCACAGGGCTAGGGCCCAAGGCAGGCTCCCTATATGCTCCTGTCCATGGAACCGGCATTCATTGCAGGGGCATAAGGGCAGCAGATTGTGTCTCTGCCCCGGGCCCCATCCTCGTGCTGTCACCACCCCGCAATCACATTCCCAATCCTGATCCCAGGCCTCACTTGCCCATCCCATTCCTAGATGCCATAGTCCCATCCCATCTGCCCTGCCTGTGTGGGTCCCGGGATGGTCTCCATGGAGACTCCACCCACCTACTTTGTCCAGTGTCCCCAGCAGTTGGCGTGGGCTGGATGGGCTGGGGTGCCAAGGTAGTAGGACTGGGTCTGACAGTAGTGGCAGAAGTTAGCAGCAGCAGCTAGAAGGAGCTGCCATTTCCAGGGCTGCTGGGAAGTGAGTCTGGCTGCTGCACACCCCCCAGCCTCTCTGCACATCTGAAAGCAGCAGGACTGGCCACATGCACCATGGGCCAGGCTGCACTCTGAACCTGGGCTACAGGGGCCAAGGGACCCACTGTGGGCCAGAAAAAATCACTGGGTGGGCCAGATCTAGCCCACAGGCCATGTTTTGCCCACTCGTATGCTAATACCAAAATAAATAAATAAAATAAGGTAAGCACATACCAACTTTAATTGTACAAATAGTGACATTGACTTTGATAGCACTACTTATATGCTTTGAGTTACTTAAATTCAATCCAGTTCTCTGTCTTGACTTTGAAATTCTCTATTTTAAAGTAAGGCCTAAGGGCCAAAACAAACTTGGTCTCAGAGGTACCTAATAGTACTTATGTGGAATTTAGGCACCTAAGTGTCAAAACTTGAACCCAAATTGGCTCTGCTCCACAAGACACCAAACTCAACAGGTATCTAAGCTCAGGCAGTTCCTCT